AAGTAAATACATAAATAAATATTAAAAAAAATAAATCAATAAGTAAATTAATGAATACAAGAAATCTAAAAATAAATTAATAAGTAATTAAATAAATAAAATAATTAATTACTTTATTTATCTTTTATTAAATCAATAAATACCAAGATAAAGAACTAAATACAAAAATAAAAAAAAACATACATGAAAAAAATAATTAATAAAAATAAATAAATACATAAATAAATAAATAAATAAATTAGTTAATATATAAATAAATAAATAAATATATAAATTAATAAAATAAAAAAAAAAAATAAATAAATAAATAAATAAATAAATAAATACATTAATAAATAAATAAATAAAAAAAATATAAATAAATAAATGAATAAATAAATAAACAAATAAATAAATAAATACATTATAAATATATGAATATATAAATAAATAGATAAATAAAGCGATAAACAAATTTAAAAATAAATAAATAAATAAATAAATAAATAAATAACTAAATAAATAAAAAAAATAAATCAATAAAAAATACATAAATAAATTAATAAAAAAATAATAAATAAATGAATAAATAAACACATACACAAAAAAATATAAATAAATTAATAAATACATAAATAATTTAATAAATAAAAGAATAAATAAATAAGTACATAAATGGATAAATAAATTAATAAATAAAAAAAAATATATTAATAAATAAATACATTAATAAATAAATAAATTTAAAAACAATATAAATAAATAAATAAATTATTAAACAAATAAATCAGTAAAAAAATAACAAATAAAAAATATAAATAAATAAATGAATAAATAAATAAATAAAAAAATAAATACATACATTATAAATATATGAATAAATAAATAAATAGATAAATAAAGTGATAAAAAATTTAAAAATAAATAAATAAATAAATAAATAAATAAATAAATAAATAACTAAATAAATAAAAAAAATAAATCAATAAAAAATACATAAATAAATTTTAAAAAATAAGTAAATAAATGAATAAATAAACAGGTATATAAAAAATATGAAAAAATTATTAAATACATAAATAACTAAATAAATAAAAGAATAAATAAAAAAGTACATAAATGGATAAATAAATAAATAAATAAATAAAAAAAATAAAAAATAATAATAAATAAATAAATAAATAAATCAATAAATATATAAATGAATAAATAAATAAATAAACAAATCAATAAATTCATAAATAAATTAATCCTTTAATAAATAAATAAATAAATAAGTACAAAATTAAAAAAAAAATAATTAAAAAATTAATAAAAAAATAAATGAAGGTTTTAAAAAATAAATAAATATATCAATGAATAAACAAATAAAAAAATAAATAAAGCAATGCAAACATGAATTAATTAATCAATGTTATAAAAAATATATCAAATATTCAATTATTAGATAATATATTAATTAAATATATCAAAAATAAAATTATAAAGTTAAATCCTTAATTAAATATATGAATTAAATCATATGAAATCAAATAATTAAATAAACCAATCAATAAATATCTAAATCGACTTATAAATAAATCAATCGATCGATTAATAAATAAATAATTATCTTTTATTAAATCAATAAATACCAAGATAAACAACTAAATACAAAAATTAATAAAAACATAAATGAAAAAATAAATTAATAAAAATAAATCAATACATAAATAAATAAATGAATAAATAAATTAATATATAAATAAATAAATAAATATATTAATAAGTAAATAAATAAATAAATCAATAAAAAAATTAGTGAATTAATAAATAAATAAATAAATAAATAAATAAATAAATAAATAAATAAATAAATGAATAAATAAATATATTAAAAAATACATAAATAAATAAAAAAAAAGTATACATAAATAAATAAATAAATAAATAAATAAATAAATAAATAAATAAATTAATAAATATATAAATGAATAAATAAATAAATAAATAAATAAATAAATAAATAAATAAATAAATCAATAAAATTAATAAATAAATAAATCATTCAATAAATAAATAAATAAGTACAAAATTAAATTTAACAATAAATTAATAATAAAAAAATGATAAAAAAATAAATGAAAGATTCAATAAATAAATAAATATATCAATACATAAACAAATAAATTAAAATCAATAAAACAATGCACACATCAATAAATTAATAAATTGAATGTTAAAAAAAAATATATAAAATATTCAATAATTAGATAATATATTTATTAAATATATCAAATAAAAATTTTTAAGATAAATACTTAATAAATAAATATATGAAAAAAATATTTAAATAAATAAATAATTAAAAACCTATTGAATCAAAAATTAAGAAGATGATAAATAAATAAATAAATAGGTAAATTTGTTTGATATTTATTAATAAAATGAAATAAATATATGAAAAATGAAAGTTTAATGTATAAATTAACAAATACATAAATAAATAAAATTAATTTAAATAAATGAATTAAATAATATGAAATCAAATAATTTAATAAACCGATCAATAAATATATAAATCGACTCATAAAAAAATCAATCGATCGATTAATAAATATTTTTTTTTTTTTTTTTTTTATTGTAGTCACTTTAACACTCTTGGGTCATTCGTGACTTGTCCGGGGGTGAGATTTGAACTCGTGACTTTGGCGTGAGAGGTATGGATGTTAACCACTACGCCGGAGTCGCCCCCATAAATAAATTAGTTAATAAATAAAAAAGTTAATAAATAATTGAAATTAATTTAAATATATGGATAAAAAAGCAAGTTAATGAGTTTTATTAAAAATATGACGAAATTGAATATATAAATATATATTTACAATAAATAACAAATTGATCGATAGAAAAAATAAATAAATAAATAAATAAATAAATAAATATGTTTATGAATAATAATTATTAATATATAAATTCATAAATAAATAAATAGATTAAAAGATAAATAAATAATCAGAAATATTAATCAAATACATAAAAAGAAAAAAAAGTGAAAAATAAAAAAAAGAATAAAATAAATGAATGAATTAAAAATAAAATATATTTAATATATGAAGAAAGTAATAAATAAAATAAAACAAATTAATATATAAATAAATGAATAAATAAATATGTGACAAAATGTATCTAGTTAATCAATAAATTAAGAAATTAATAAATAAATAATAAGGTTATCAATCTGTATTGTACAATTGTTTATAATCTCCAGGAATATCTCGGCTTTGATTTGAATTTAAACATTTGAATTCGAAAAATAATTCATAGATTTTTAATAAATCCTTGATCTTAGCAGTTCACCTAGATTCTACACTTTCTTGCTATTTTTACTTATATTAAAGAATTTTCTTTAAAGTCTTAATAATTCATGTCATTTTTAAATCATGTGTTTAAACATTTCCTTCATGAAAACATTCACTTTCCAAAAACCTGCCTCATCAATCTATTGTTCAAATAAATTTCGGCCAAATGACGTTCAATCCTATATTCGTAAAAATGGGTAATGCGAGAATCTGATTTTGATCAAGACAAGGATGGTCCATATATGTAACAGGACCATTCACCAACTTTCTTAGTCCATATTCAGGGAAATACACTAAATCAATTCGTTTCACATCTAGGCTAGGTATTCCATTTACAACTATGCGTTCCTATTAGGATGTGTTCCAATTATAGTCCATTCAATTTTCTGTATAAAATCTGATCTATTCTAGGATCAGTTTAATTGATTTCCCGCGTTTTAGAAGGTTCCAAGTTACTCCAACTAAAATCCGCTCACAACGAAATTTGAATGTTTTTACTACCTAAGATAGTTTTAAGTGCAGTCAATTTATAGCAAAATAGGTTGTTAAGAACAATCAATACAAGAATATAATGCTTGTGTCTGCACTGAACACCGGCGTGGACAAATATTTTCGATGACTTGACAGGCATCGGCGCACAGATCTATTTTTGAACACCATCGTTCTGTTAAGGAACCTTCCTCTGGGTTCGATGCCACAATAATCAAATAAAGACAGAGTTTGTGAGAAAGTACCGGGCTGAAAGGACAATCCGGAAAACCAATCCCAATCAATCCCCTGAAACTTGTGACTGAACTTTTCGGGATTTACTCTTGAAGTTTTGCAGACATTGGGATCCCAAATAAAATCAATCTTCAACCTTAATGAACAGATGACCTTCCATCCATCTCCATTATTGCCTTCGACGGGTGTACGTATATCAATTACATTCTAGTTGAGCCAGTCTTTCCCGCTCCGCTCCCTATCACAATACGTTCCGGCGAAGCGAAGGTAATGGATGTGTTCTAACCGGAAAAATGGCAGGAATTATCAGGGCATGAAATTGTTCCATCTATCCACGTGTGTGCAAAGTGTATTCCTGCAGCTGTTCCGGTTCGTCTCTGATGATGGAGCGCTGCGGTTGGTTTGAAGTGCATCCATTAAAAGCACGACGTCCATGAATGCACCCTCTTGAAGCTGCTCTAACCCAACTGGAAAATGTTGCACCACATTAGCTCCGCATAGAAATGCGCCATGAAGCGTTTCGCGCAGGAGATAAAAGTTTCCTCTAACATTTTTACTTGATTCAACAAATCAAGACAAACCGAACAAATCTCCGCTAATTCATTGGATGTTAAGGGGTCGGGGGGAAGTTTCCACCGTAAAGTTGATTGCCATTAATCAAGATCCACCCGGGGGCTGTTTCCATCCATCTGTTTCAATCAAGCGACCATTCAGGAGAGTTCGTCTGTGCTCCTGAGCGTGCGTAGGAGGTCCTTGAAACTCCAGTTGCCTCGGTCCCATTCCGGTACACAACGCTGTGGCCACCAAAAGTACTCTCTTCCACTGCGTTAATCCGATTCCCGTATCAATTACCATTAGGATAAATCAAATAACATGGATACTGTTTTACGCACACCTAAAACTACAGACTAAAGGCACGTACCAATTTCTCTCTTCCTTTCTCTCTCTCTCTTCCAGGCACACAGACAGGCAGAGGATCTTTTCCAGACTGTTAACCAATTGCGTAAAACGGCCGACAGGCCGACCGGTTCCGGCATCGAGACGCACAATCACAAATCGCCATGACCATCTCCGTTGTCGCCATCGCCGCCATCAATCAGGAACAGCAGTGGCCGAATAGTTGTCTCCATTCTTCGGTGGTGGAACTGCGTCGTAATCTTCGCTACATGGCCATCACCATCGGCATCAGTGCCAATGACGACGGATCCAATGCCAGCAATAGCACCATCAGCAGCAGCAGCAGCAGCATCAGTCGAAGCTAACTCATCACAGTCTTTTAGCACGCGTGGGCAGGAGGAGGACGAGGAGGAGGGCAATAAAGCTCTTCGCATCGAAACATCATGGATTTCCACAAGGCACCCCCACCCCGGCCGCCCAGTTTCGTCGATGACGGTGGCATCGGTACGGCACTCACCAAGTCCAACGGTAAGTGAGTAAACTGTCGGAACGTTCACTTTCTACCTGACTTTTATCCTCATCTGGCAAACTGACAAGCGACGTCGTTTCGGTCGAGAGTTGGAGGAGAGGAGGATGTTGCAATCATTATAACTTATGGAGTGTTCTCGGAGTTGGTTCGGATCATCTGGATAAGTTTGCACCATCGAGGAAATTGTCCGAATAAAAAACAAAACTTTCTGCTGCTCGGTTGCATGCCAAGCGCCAAATTGGGTCTGTTTCCTTAAGACGTGGCCTGTTTGGGCGAGGAGGTAGTAAACTACGAAGTTAGATGATGCGAACAAAATTGTTGGCAATATTGGAGATTATGATTGGAGGTAAGTTTTTGGTTTATGGTACCAATAATTTGTTTGCGTTAGCTTGGAGCTAAATACCATACGAATCCGATATTGATGGAGAAAACAAACTGTGCGGGCACGTATCGTGCCTTTCCGATTTATGGTAAAAGGCGTCAATTTTACGATGCCAAAATTGGAAATTTTGTTGGAGGGAATTTCTTTCTCCATTATGATGATAGCTGTCATCAAGAATATACATACAACATTCACAAACTACATCACGTCTTTAGAACCGTGATATGAGGGTTCAGATGAGTCATAAGTGCAATAATTCTGAAACGACAATTTAGCAGAAACAACCTTCTATCAAGTCCATATGTTAAGTTAGGGCTAACAATTAAAAATGAATGTAACACTAGCGCCGCCTGCTGAGTGAATGCTGAGCTAAACTTTGTTCCTTAAGACAGGTCTTGTCGATTTGAACAACTTTGATCAAGACGGGAACCATCCATATGAGCACGATCTGTTAGCGTTATATAATGTGTATTTAAGCTGGTGCCACTTGATCATTTTAGATTTACCGCCATATACTGAGTAAACTATCCATAGTTTTGAAAACCTTGTATTCTTAAATATCTTCTTATATAATTATTAGTGTAACAAAACGGTCTACATCTGATTGACGACAGTAAATAAATAAAAATAAAAAAATAAATATCGAAGGAAGCTATATCCTTTATGGTTGAGATCCCGTGATATAAACATCTCTAATATCAAAAGTCTAAAAAAAAAGTCTGATAACTTGAACAGAAAGTCCACTAAGTAAGCTGCAAACAAAGCAATTGAAGTTTGGGACCAAATTGACCCCAGCGTACAGACAACGTAAGTATTTCAATTAAATATTCCCAATAAATGATATGTTTTCAAGGTCATGAAGCAGAGATCTCAACTATTTGAATTTAATTATGTGTTTTTAAAACGGATTGATCTGAGGTTTTAGTAGTTAGTGTCATCTTCCCAGGCAACACACATCCATCATAATAGGTTGCTGCAACCTGATTGTGACTGAAATAAGGTGCATACAAGTAACACCAACTGTTAAGTGTCAAGTGTGCTGCTAGGGTTGTGTTCTCCCAAGATGTTAGCTGCCTATTAGTGTACCCCCATGTTTGTCTTTTTCATCAGTATGTCGCTTAGTTCGAGATTAAGAGCACATTGCTCTCCAAACCTTGTGTTCTTAATCCCTACCCTGCAATCCATTTGTTGCAATTTACTACCCCTAACCTTGAGATAGCCACGAGTAATCGGCCCCGCTTTAGTTTTAAGTTGTGAAGTAATGAAATTGGGTTGTTAGCGGAATGCTTAAATAAAACAGCAAAAAAAGGTAACCTTCCATTTAATTCCACTTAATTAATTTTGGTATCCATGACAGATACGTATTTCGACTACAATGTGCAGTCTTCATCAGTGTCATTCCCAATTGTGCCACCTGGTGATAACTCGAAGCCAATGACCAGCGAATATATAAAAAATCACCATTTTACTACATTCCATTTAGTTGCAGGGAACAAGCAAGGCCTGCTTTGATAAAATTTACACATAAATCAATTTTACGGATGTTCCGGATCTTCTCACGGACCATCTGGTGACTACTCAGAGCCATTGAATAGCTAATGTATCTAAAATCACCATTTTACTACACTCCACATAGTTGTAGAGTAAAATCAAGGCCAACTTTGATCAAATTTACACAGCAACGGAACAATTGAACAGCTAATATAACAAAAATCACCATTTTACTACATTTCACGTAGTTGCAGAGCAAAATCAAGGCCTACTTTAATCAAATTTACGCAGCAATACATTTTACGGATGTTCCGGATCTTTCGGCGAGCCACTTGGAGCCAGTGAACAGCTAATATATAAAAAATCATAATTTTACTACATTATATACAGTTGCAATGAAAAATCAAGGCATACTTTGATCAAATTTACACAGCAATCAATTTTACGGATGTTCCGTATCTACCAGCGGACCATCTGATGATAACTCGGAGCCATTGAACAGCTAACATATGCAAAATCACCATTTTACAACATTTCTCATTGTTGCAGAGAAAAATCAAGGCCTACTTTGATCGAATTTATGTAGCACTAAATTTTACGGATGTTTCGGATCTTCCGGCGGATCATCTGGGTGACCACTTGGAGCCATTGAAACGCTTATATATCTAAAATCATTAATTTACTACATTTCATATAGTTGCAGAGAATAATCAAGGCCTACTTTGATCAAAAATACATAATAATCCAGATTAAGGTTGATCCAGGTCATCGGTAGGCCTTCTGGTGGACGCTCAGTATTTAGAACCAGGTTATGGGTTGATTTTGTTAAAATATTAATCAGCACTACCCATAGATGCCTGTTGCTGTGGATTTTCAGCACCACCTTGTTGTAGACGACTGGTACCTTTTCTCCCCCCGATGGCCTCTCGGAAACCCGGAATAAAACCGGATCCACTTGGCCAATCTGTTCCAATTTTTAGTAGACCATAATTTCGAACATTTTTCTACTCACTGTGAAAATTTCAACCAATTTCATGGTTAAACAAAAAAATTATACCTATGCAAACATTGCTATTCGTATACCTGTTCGTAAAAATAAAAACTGCACAACGGAGACGAACCAGCCCAGGGCTGAAAGTCTCCTTAATAAAGATATAAAAAAAAAAAAAAAAAAAACTGCACAAGCGCGTTAGGCCCTCCCCAGAAGTAAAGCAGGTGGTGTTCGTTTGTAACGCTAATAACTTTTCGGGGGTAACTCACATTCACATCCGGTCTTGAGCCAAGATGTTCCCAATACTCCTAAGGTGCTACATTTAGTACACGAAGAAAATCGACCCACTACAGCGCCACCTAGAGCCACGAATGTGAAAGTGGCTCGCTCCCCCATACATTTTGTCAATTTTCCCCATACAAACTTCAAGCCGTTTGAGCGAGGGGTTCCCGTGAACCAAATGACTTCAAATTGTGAATCTGACCCCCCAAACTACCATTCCAGAGGGTAGCGTTTGAAATTCCAGACTTTGACATTTTCCATATAACGCTGAAACACTCTAATGGAGCCTTGAGGCACTCCTACAGTGACTCTTACGCATTGTTCACCATATTCTGTGTCGTACGTCAACACACGATTCTGGAAGTAGCTTTCTAAAATCTTGTACAACCCTCCGGGAATTTGGAATTTCTCACATCTAAGCTTACCACCGCGCAGTAACGAATGCCGCTTCGTTTCCGGTGGACCACCTCTGCCGTCTGGATGACGTCACGGATGGCTTCCACCGTGGATCTGCCCTTACGGAACCCGTACTGGCTACTTGACAGGCCGTCTACACCTTCAGTGTAAGCCGACAACCAGTTGAGGATGACCCTCTCAAGCAGTTTACCAGTGGTGTCCAGCAAACAGATGGGCCTGTATGCTGACGGGTCCCCAGGGGGTTTTCCTGGCTTCAGGAGCAGTACCAGCCTCTGCCGCTTCCACGCATCTGGGAAGATGCCTACGTCCACACAGGTTTGAAAAACAGAACGGAACATATCTGGGTTTTCCGCAACGGCCGCCCTCAGAGCCACAACCGGGATCCCATCTGGGCCCGGGGCCTTGCCCACCACCAGTGACTTGGCAATATCGCTAAGTGCTCTGTTCGTTACTCTAGACACTTCTCCCTGATCCGCGACTGGGATCCGCGGCCAGGAGTCTACGTCCCTAGTCTACACATACACAGCCAGTACTTGAAAGAATCCTGGAAAATGATACATCTATCATTTTTCTTGCCATTATTAATGCCTGCTGCACATCAAGGATGTGAAACAAACAATAAAGCGGCCAGGCCTACTGTGTAGCGTTTAGTTAATTTTTGTGGAAGTGAATGTTTACCATGTCTACTTAATAAGTATAGACAGTGGTTAACATTTAATCCACAGGTAATCAAAGAGCGGGGACATACCGTACCAACCGCTCCGTATGCAGGATTTGAAAATAGGCTATATAAATCGTTGGGAGTGACAGAGCTAAGAAAGTTAATGTACACTCCTTGGTTGTCCGATCTCCTGGGATGGAACACAGGTATTTACCCCTTGTGTTCGAGCGTACAGTCCTCCCTCCGTACAAGCGTGGACGGCACCGCCAACCCACTGCCATCCCTCAATCGATCCAGCCGACCTCAGTCAAAGGACAACAGAGAGCGGTGTGCGGACGTAACCTATACGGAGGGAATGCTGTATTCGCCTAGGTTATAGCGCCCTTGCTCGCTACCATTTTCTTCTAGCGGTTGGGACCTGAGCACTAACTCTTGTCCTAGCCCTATATGGCATATGGTTATAGCGCCATTACTCGCTTTCTGAAAAGAGAAGAAGGGAAGGGAAGGAGAGGAAAAGGACTTGGGAAAAGGAAATGCGGAATTCCTTTCCTCATTAGTATTTGTATCGTCAACTTTTATGAAAATTATATAAATCATTTTTCCTTGGTCAGAGGTATTATTACGACATTTTAATAAGATTGTCTTATCATTTGTTATTCAAAATTTAATGCTATAATGATCAACATAGCTTTGGATTATCCAATATAATTCATAATTTAAAAAAAAAAAAAAAAAAAAAACAAACATTTTTTTAGCTGAAATGAGTATTTGCAAC